GTATTTAACACTTTGTAATGTAAAAAACGTTTTCATATTATCTGTTAAGTCCTTTAATTTGCTTATTCTCTCTCTCAATGATTATATCTATATATCTACATAAGGAGCTCTGGTGGTGCTGTGAGTTAGGCATTTGGCTGTTAACCAGAAGGGTGGCATTTCAAACCCACTTGCTACTCTGTGGGAGGAAGATGAGACAATCTACTTCCACAAAAATTTACAGCCTTGGAAACCCTAAGGGGCTCACTATGAGTTGGAATCAACTTCATGGCAGTGAGTTTAGTTTTTTGGTTTTACACATCTATATATATGGTGATGAAAACTAAAGATGCAATGCCCACTTAAGAAGGGCATACTGTCTTAAAGGGAAAGATGGGAACTGGAGATCTCTGTCTTCAAATTCCTCAGACGCGATGAATCTGTGCCATGGGTAAGCTGGTTTGAATATAATACACTACCTGGGGCAAATTCACAGAGATTGATAGCACAGGGGGATTTTCTCTAGACCTATCAAATAGGAAAAATGGGCCATGAAGAAAAATTTAGACCTTGATCTGCAAGTAAGTCATGATCTTCTAAAAATACACATCCCTTTCCCTGCTATATCTCTCCCACTTGAAAAGCCCTCTAATGCCTCTCCTGTCAAAACCTATGGTTCCTTCCATGATCTCCTTTAACTCTTTTCTTTTGGAACTTTTCCCTTATCACTTCATTATTTTCTCCCTTTCCTGAGTTCCAACAGCACTTACTATCTTTACCACCCTGCAAGACCTTACTTAGAGACCCAGGGAGGTAGAAACAATTAAACCAATGGGCTTCTAAATGAAAGGCTGCAGGTTTGAGTCCACGCAGATATGCCTCAGTAGACATCTCTGACCATCTATTTAAAAAAATAGGCCACTGAAAACCCTATGGAATAGACTTCTACTCTGAAACACGTGAGTCACCATGAGTCTGAGTTGACTTGAATTATTATGTTTTTATTTTCCAAACATGCAAAAACTTTTTCTACCCAAACTATAAAGCATAACATAAAATAGCAAGAGAGAGTATCAACTGATTGGTCACAATTTTTCATATTAACCATATCATGGGTGTTACAAACTGTTTGCACTAGACTACTACTCTAAGGTTGACAGCTCAAATTCATAGCCGTATGATGAAAGGAAATGAGCTCTGGTTGTTTAATGGTTAAAGCATTTAGCTGCTAGCCAAAACGTTGGTGGTTCAAACCCACTGGCTGCTCTGTGGGCTAAAAATGAGGCAGTCTGTTTCCATAATGATTTACTGCCTTGGGAACCCTATGGGTCAGTGTCTACTCTGTCCTGTTGAGCCACTATGAGTCAGAATCAACTCAGTGACAGTGAGTTTTGGGTTACTGGGCTGAAATGACTTTAAGAAGCCACCTTTGTAGAGGTTTCTTCATGTTTCTCAAGACCCATCAGGCACCACACATTTGTATTTCTCCCAGTTTAATTTAGCAAGACCATTTCTTCCCTTTCTCCCACACTGGCTCTTCTTTCTCCATTGCACCCAGATCACTACCCCAGGAATACTGACACTAGGCCACAGCAGAGCCTAAGGAGTGACATGAAACACCTGTTCCCAAGAAGATTGTGCTCACCAAATTCTATTACTTCCTTTATAGACTCAGGCTTTACTCTCATTCAAAAAGCAGGTTTGTGTTATGTTCCTGAACAAATGCTAGCTCTGAGCAGGTGAATTTTCAACTTTGTGTTCTTCTTTAGCTGTTCTCTAATTCTGAAATAAGCAAACTATGCCAGGAAAATCTTGAATTTAGAGAGTCCTTCTCAGTTTACAACATGTTTCCACTCCATTACTGTATGTAGTCCTCAGAACAACTTAGCAAAGTTGGTATTATCACCTCCATTTAAGATAAAGACAGTTGAGCACAGGCAGGAGGGGCTTGCCAGCTTCCACTCTTTGAGAAGGGCCGCTCTGGGCACAGACTACATTTTTTCTGACCCCAGATTCCCAGGTGTTTTTTTCTACCACAGTCAGTTCTGCTATAATGCTTGTTTTTAAAATGCAAATTTATTTTAAAGTAATATATTAGGAATAACATGAGCATAATGAAATGCATGCCTTTATCCCCAAGAAACAGCAGATAAACACAGAAAACTACCTGCCACTGAAATGAGTGTGAAAGTATATAAAAAGCCACACACATACCTCAAATAGATGGACCAGTGACCTCAGTTCACCCTGTGTTATGAGCCACACCCATGCACATCTGGCCTCACAACTTTCTCTCCAATTTCAAATAACCCTCCTCCCAGTCCCAGTTTTTGTTCTACCAAATAATCTTGTCTATACATCACAGCCTTCTCACAGCAACAGACCTTAAACTAATTCAAAATGAATTAAGCTATCCCTGATTGAAGGAAGGGGATTCTATACTGTCCAAAGATAATCTGTTTATTTCTTTAAATGCTTTTCCTTATATGTTTCTAAGACTTGCTTAGATCTTCTAAGTCTTTAAAGGCCATTTCTGTGTGCACGGTCCCAGGAAATGGAGAAAATTCTACGTAAGTTTTGACATTAGTCCCTACTTCAACAGAGAACTCTGATTGGAAAGGAAACTATGTACACATCCACATGGATTCATTAATTCATTCTTTCATTCATTCATTCAGATCACAAATGAATATTGATCAGCTACTAAGTGCCAGACACAGGGCCAGTAAGTAATAAGCCAAATACACCTGATTCCTGACTTCATTAGACTTATAAAACTAGTGGAGCAGGCAGATGCTAAACAATCACAGAAATAAATATCTCACTAATAAAGTGATAGAAAATTAGGAATTTGCTAAAAGATAGAAGAACTGATTTTGGTAGATTTGGAAAGCTCTTTGAGGAAGTATCATTTAAGTTGATACCTTTCTTATGATAAGAAGTTACCAAGTGAAGAGAAAAGGGTCTAGTTAGTACTCCAGCAGAGTGAATGGAGAAAGCCCAGTGTGGCTGTGGACTGGTGTAAAAGGGGATAGTAGTGACATGTGACATGGGTGGAAAGGAGGCAAGGACTGGAACATAGGGGACTATAAAAATCATATTAAGGGTATGGAACTGTATCCCAAGTAAAAGAGAAAGGCTTTACTAAGGTGTAAGCAGGTAGGTGACACCATCTGATTAATATCTTACAAAGATCATTCTGGGTACAGTGTGCAGAGAGGACAGAATCATAGATGCTGCATAACAGAATGGGAAAACATTTCAATGGAAACTGATGGATGCTATCAGTACCTAGTCTGAATTGCACAGTTTATTAGTCAAGTGGTTTTGGACAAGCCATTTAACTTAAAACTTTGCTGTTTTAAGCCAGTTTCCTTTGTAAATTGGCAAGGGTGAAACCTTCCATGCCAATATCACAGTATCACTGTGAAGACTGAACAAAATAATGCATGGAAAAGCATATTACAAACTAGAAAGCCATATATAAAAATAAGTATGGCTAACCAGAATAATACAGTTATATTGCCTAATTTTTTTTTTCAGGTAGCATTGATAAATTCTATAAAAATTTAAAGACCTTAACTATATGCTCTATGTTAAACATATATTGTAGTTATATATTTCTTTTAAAAAATTCAAAAATGTTTTCTTAAAAAAAGATAAAACCTTAAATATATATGGAAAATGCAGCTATTTCAATGTAAGAGCTGAGAGACTAAATTAATCACAGATGGCATACAGAATGTATTTAAGTAACCCTGTTTGGACTTCCTCAAAGACATTATTTTTGAATCCCACCACCTTGTATGATTTTAAACAGATGGCATGATGTATGGTGTGCCAAGCGTTCAGGGGAAATTTAGAATATTATCACTTGATTTCAAATATAGAAAGTC